AATGCCGCCGAGCCCTGCCCGCGGGCCGGTCGGCTCCTGGTCACCGGGATGGGGGAGCCGGGAGACATCGGTGCTGGGAAAGGAGGGTTTGATGCCGGAGATGGAGATTTCAGTGCCGAGATGGGAGGTCTGGGTGCTGGAAACAGAAGATTCCGGTGCTGGAGAGTTTGGCAACAGGGGGATTCGGTGCCGGAGATGGGACATTTCGGAGGCAGCGACTTGAACACTGATCAGCTACACCAAACCCCATGGGGATTTGGGGCTATTCAAAGCTATTTTGGGTAATCATTAAGGAAAGGCGCGGTGACTGCAGTTATTGCTGATGCCTTTCTCCCCTCCTGCTCCCCCCAGGGCCTCGCCCTGACATTGGGAGGGGGATAAACATTAGACACTCCCCCCCCCCAAAAAAACATGGGGATACCCAGGGGATCCCTGCCCGCCACCCCCTTGCCACCATCCTCAGTGCTTTAATGAGCCCATTGATGCTCTAACGGGTTCTTTGAGACACAGGTAGGTTTATTTCACCGTTTGGGGTCGGGTTTAACACGGCTGTTGGGGTCCGGGCGCTTCCCTGCACGTTGTGGGACACCGGGATTCACTCCTTCACCCTTGAACCTACTGAGCACCAAGCGGCACAATCTTGCACCCAGAACCAGCAATGGTTTTCCAGGTCCCGTCCCCTCCAGGACGAGCATTTAGTGTTCATCTAATCCCTCACTATTAAGGTAGGTCAGCTTCATCCAGGGGGGAATATGCACGTTTTCACCAGCCACCAGCCGCCCTGTCCTCTTCCTGGGAGCTGGAGGAGGAATATCACTTCCCAGCAGCCGCCAGTACGATGGGGGAATCATCCAGACTTTATCCAACACTGGTTTTCTTCCCTCATGTCTGTGATTCCAGGAGGGAAACGCAGCTCGTACCGTGACCATCCGTGACACTCAGAGTCAGAGCCATGGGATATCCCACTCCCTGGCCACCCGACAAGACTCATTCCACAGACCGGAGCAGCACCAGCTCTTCTCCTCCCTGCAATGGATTCCTATTTCTTCACCTCCTGGGGCTCTCAGCCAGGTGGGAAGTGTTTTCCTGGGATGGGGGTACGCTCCCTTCTCCCCAAATACAAAAAGAAAGCCAAAAAAACAACCAAAAAAGAAGATGGTTTGAAGCTTTTCCTCAAAGCCAGCAGAAAACACCAGCCAAGCTTTACCAGGAGCAGGATGTAAACTCAGTCATCGGGCTCCAATTGCTCCCAAAGATGGGAAAATCTGGAGACTGCTCCCCCTGTGCTTGACAGAAGTGGAAATGGAGAAGGAGAAGCAAGCAGTTGCCAAAGGTGAGCTGGGAAAAGCTGCAGCAATTCATTGAAATTCCTTGTCGGAAGCTTAACTCCCTCTCACAATGAACCCCAAGAGCTCAAACCCATCCCGTGTGCTCTGCTGCTCTGCCATACAGCCAGCAAAGAGGACATGAAACAGAGATCCTTTGAACCAGAACTCGCTCATAAGGTGATAAGGACAACACGTGCATCTGGGCAGCATTCCCAGGGGTTTTGCTTCCTTAAATCCCGGGTGACGAGGACGACAAACGTTATTGCTGGCACTAGCTGCAGCCCAAGCACCGCGCCCGCAGCTCCCTGCACCCATCCGAGTCCTTTAAACCCCCCCCTCGTCGTCCCAGCCATGTGGGGACAGCCCTTCGCCGCCTGTCGGTCACAGTGGGTGGCGAGGGGAGGTCACAGTGCGTGGGGATGAAGGTCACAGTGGGCAGAGCAAAGGGGATCACAGTGCAAAGAACCCGGGGAGTTCCCTTTGCTCAAGTCCGCGACGCGGGGCTGCCTCCCGCAGCAGCATCTCCCTCCTGCCTGCCTCTATCTGCGCTGCTTGAAGCCTTGGGAGCCGTCGGGACCCAGGGGTTGCCTAATCACATTGTTGGGCTGCCTGGTGTCTTCTGGCTGGGAGATCCTCGTGGGCCTGCAAGGAGAGAGGAGGTCAGAGGAGGAGGTGGGATCAGAGGATCCTTGAGGTCCCTTCCAACCTGGGATGCTGTGATCCTGCACCTGCCTCGGTGGGAAGCCACCACCACAGAACAATCGGTGCACATCACTCCCAGGGACAAGGAATGTGACCAAACCCAAACTAGCACTTCGCTTTCTACCCAAAGAATCACAGCACAGTGCCTCCAAACGACCTGTGCACAATAAAGAGTATCCACACCCTCTTGCCTGCACTTGGTGGCTTCCTCAAGTCTAAACCCTCAGGGTAGATGAAGAAATGTCCTGCTGGGATAACCCAGGAAGAACCCCCCGTGTGCTGGGCTGCACCCCCAGAGCATGCGCAGCAG